GTATAAATAATACTGTAATTTCCCTGTTTAAAAAACACAAATGTCAGTAATTTGTCTTTAATAATAAAGTACCTAAAATGAAAGTCAAACTGTTAATTTAGAGAGATTGGTTGTCATTTTACTAAGTTTTGAATATAATGTGAAATGAAAAAAAATTACTGTAAAAAATTTAAGGATATTTTCTGTAAAATTAGTTTTTTTTTACAGTGTAATTTATTATTAAAGACAAATTACTGACGTTTTTGTTTTTTATAGAGGGAAATTACATAATTTTTACTGTATTTTTTCTGTTATTTTAAATTATATTCAAAAGTTTGTAAAAATTACAAACAATATCTGTAAATTAACAGCTTGACTGGTATTTTATGTACTATATAAGTAATGACAAATTACAGCAATTTTCCTTTTTATACAATAAAATTGGCATATTATTTACACAATGTTTTTTCCTGTTTTTTTTTTTAAGTACATTTAAAATTACGGAAAATTAAAGAAATAAATTGTAATTACTTGCTCTGTAAAAAAAAAAAAAAAAGATCGTAAAAAAAAGGTCAAATGACTGGCAGCTACAGCTGCCAAAAAAAAAACTTTAAAATTACGGTAAAATTTACGGTAAACAACCAGAAAAACACTGTTATTTTACAGACTTTTCCTAGATTATTACCATCAAATCAGTACAATAAAGTTACACACTAAAAGCAATCACATGCACCTGTTCCAGTTTCTGCTGGTTGCACACACACATTCGGAGGATCATTATGAACTGATTTCATGGACTTTAAAAGCAGCACAGACACATGTACCAATTGTCTTGTTATATTGTTACTGTGAACATTATGATATGTTTCTCGTTTTTTGCCTTGCTGTGTTTGTTTATTGTTTACATTGTTTGCTGCCAGGACTGATCATTTACTTGTTATTTGATCATGACTCTGGATTCCCTGCATACATCTGTTTGCAGTTTGCCCCTGTGTTGGCTGTTGCTTACTTGACCATCTCTGTGTAATAAACCTGCATTTGGATCTGCACTTTGTCAGTGTCCCCTTCACGTTACAGTTCCATTTCATTTAAGATTTGCAACTGAATCATTCCATATAACTTAAACCTCTACATGTTTTACATAAATACTATTCAATAAAATGTAACTGTAATGTTATAGTTGTGAGAATTTTAATCACTTGTATCTTGTTTTTTTTTTTTCTCCAAACTTTTTGATCCAAAATAAAACTGTTAAATTACGACCATGAGCATGTCTTGGCATTTATTAAAGGTGTTTAATTGTAATGATTTAATTCTTTAAATAGCATTGTTTTCTCTTGAATTTTTAGTGCAGTCACTTTATTGATGGTGTTTGATCATAATAATCTAGGAAAAATCTGTAAAATAAGTGTTTCTTGGTAAAACTCTTATAGTGTTACTTTATTGAATGGATTTGATCATAATAATCTAGAAAAATTCTGTAAAATAACAGTGTTTTCTGTAAAAAAATTATTGAAAATATCTGTAGATTTATTATTTTTTGCACTTTATTTCAACAAAGAAATTTTACTGTAATTTTATGGTTTTTGTTATGCAGCCGTAGTTGCCAGTCATTTGACCTTTTTTTTTTCTACGATTATTATTATTATTGTTTTTTACAGTGTAGACACTGGGCAATTCATAATCAATTTTAACAAATAAAAACACTTACAGGTTGTGGCTCAGAGTTCACAGCTTCTGCTTCTTGGAGCTGCTTCTTCTTTAAGGAGATTTTAACCGAATCCAGCACTGAACTGGCAGAGATTCTGAAAGCTGTGTTTTGTCAAATCATGCTTGCTTTGTATTTTATAATTCTCTGGAACATAATTAATATTGAACCGTAAGCACTTCTGTCTTTGTGTCGTGTCATTTGGAAGCCCAGAAACAGAAGAAGCTCTGAAATAGCAGCATTTGGACGGTATTTTATTTCCCTCTGCTGTAACATCACACCGCCTCTCGCCACGCCCCTTAGCACTTGTGTGTGTATGCGCGGTAAAAGTACATTTGTGATCTTACAGGCCCGAAAGTATTTTTTTTGTAGTCCCCAAAATTAGTTCATTGTAGTCTTTGCTAAGCTAACTCTGTAAAAACCAAGGTCTTCCTTAGTATTAAACTTTGAGCAGTTTACGTTCAGAGATGCTGTTTATGTTCATACAGCTACATTACACATTAACAAAAGTTTAAAATATGATATCGTAGTGGACCACCCCTTTAATGTTTCTCTGGCTGTTATAACTGTTATCCTAGAACTCATCAGTCATAGCAAGAAAGGCAATGAGAAACTCTACTGTGTGTACTTAATTGCTACAGATATAATTTCTAGTATTTTATAAGTTAAGCTATAAAGAAAGTTTTTTTTTTCACATTGTTTGGCATATGTTACAGCTTCCCATGGAGGTTCAACATAAAATTATAAAGTAATTAATAAGAAATTAAAATTTAATTAGTTTCATGCACAAAACCTTGAAATCTCCAGCTGCACATTATGACACATAGACATTTTTATTTTGTTTTATATTTATTAATTATTATTTTGTTTATTTTCAGTTGAATTCATCTTTGGCTTTGGCTGTAATTTGTGTTTTTCTTTTCTTCAGTGATTCTTTTGTTAACAGTTGTTCATCAATAATTCCCAATCTTCCTTTAATTAGACACTTAAATATATCATTAACTTCATCACTGTCTGAGTGTTCAACCCTCTGTAGTAAGGACACTAGTGAGGATTTTGCTCTGGGATTTAAGGGGTTAAATGTGTTTGAGGAAAAATACAGACTGTAGAATATATTTTTAACAGACATATTCTGTAAACTGAATTTAAGAATGTAAAATGTTAAAAACAGTAGATTACTGGCAACCACAGCTGCCGGTATTTTACCGTAAAATCAAGAAAAAACAGCAAAATACTGTAAAACTTTTTTGTGATCTTGACAGATCTTGAACCAATTGTCCATAATGGGTTTATTGTATTAATGGACAGAGATATTTAAAAAAAATACTGATCTAATACTTGCAATGTTAAAAGCATTGTGCACTTTGATTGGGAAGTGCAATCCCTCTTTTTTTAGATACAATCTACGAAATATTGGCAAAGCATGCCATGCTGCTTTTCAGTGTAGTGGATTTATTATTATTTTTTTAAATAACATGCCGAGCCTCACCGCCATTTGATTGAATGACAATCCCCCACTCTCATGGACGGCAGGCTTTAAATTAGATGAAATGCTTAGGAAAAAAAAAACATGGGCTGACATCTGATATCTATTGTAATGGACCTAGTCCGAAGTGGTAGTAAAAATGTATTTGTATTTATTTATTTGTATGTATTTAAAAAATATATATAATAATAAAAATAAATATACTGTCTGAGTGTGATGAATGTCTTGTGTACTATAAAAAAGTTCTAACATATTAAGATATTAAAATTGAACTTGTCATGTTTATAAAAATTATAAATGATAAAACACCAGCTATTTCAAGTGAAAGACGAAGGCTATAATATGAGTGTTGTCCACTAAAAAAGACAGGATAAGACATATTTTAAGTAAACTGTCTTCAGATATAAAATTGATTATTCTGTACACGATTTCAACTACAGTTTGTTGATCGCATAGTGTCATGAAAATTAAAAGAATGCATTTTGCCATGATATATGCTAAGAGTTTGGCTGGATTACCCAATAAGCATAACAGAAAACAGATTAATGCTGTTAGGATCATATATATACACATTTTATTTATTTTATTAATTTGCAAAGCAAAATGTAACTAACATGATGATTAATTTATATTTAAAGACTTAATTTAATTAGGCATTAAGGCATAATTAGCACATTACCAAGTAAAGACTTAAAATACAAGTCTTAAAAACAAGTGGGGGTTGGATTGTATGTGAAGGTATTGCAAATAGATATGTTGATCAATGTAAATATTCAGACAAACAGACAAAAGATGCAATAATATACACTGTAAAAAAATTAATTTTACGGAAAAAAATCAAAAAACAATTTACAGTAATTTTTTGTCATTTCAAGTTATATTTAAAACTTCGTAAAATGACAAACAAGCTTTTTAAATTTACAGTTTGACTTTCATTTTAGGCACTATCATTAAATACAAATTACTGACATTTTTTGTTTTTAATAGAGAGAAATTACAGTATTATTATACAGTATTTTTTCTGTTATTTTAAATTATATTTAAACGTTTGTAAAAATTACAAACAATATCTGTAAATTAACAACTTGACTGTTATTTTATGTACTATTTAATTAATTACAAATTACAGCAATTTTCCTTTTTATACAATAAAATTGCCTTATTATTTACACAGTTTTTTTTATAAGTACATTTAAAATTATGTAAAATTAAAGCAATAAACTGTAACTACTTGCTCTGTAAAAAAAAAAAAAAAATGGTAAAAAAAAAAAGGTCAACTGACTGGCAGCTATGGCTGCCAAACAAAAACCATAAAATTACGGTAAAATTTCTTTTTTGAAATAAAGTGCAAAAAATAATAAATCTACAGTTAATTTCATTAAAATGTTTACTGAAAAACACTGTTATTTTACAGACTTTTCCTCTTTTAAAGTCTTTTTGCTGATTTTAAAGTCCACGTTCATAACGATCCTCCAACTGTGTGCGCGCGCATGGAACAGGTGCGTGTGAGCGGATTTTATCTATTTTGTTTATTGAACGGATTTGATCGTAATAATCTAGGAAAAGTCTGTAAACATTTTAATGAAAATATCTGTAGATTTATTATTTTTTGCACTTTATTTTAACAATAATTTTATGGTTTTTGTTTAGCAGCCGTAGCTGCTACTCATTTGACCTTTTTGTCATATTTTTTTTTTTCACAGTGTAACTTTTACAGACTTAAAAATAACAAAATTAATACAAGAATGCAGCACAAGATGCTAAATGGGGTTAATTTGCGCGCCTGAGAGCACTTGAAGAACATGTTAAAACGCATGCGTGCGGATGATGAAGCTGAGTGAGAGAGTGAAGATAATAGGCGTAAGGATGAGGGCAGGATTTAGTCTCTTCTGGACACCCATGGTGTTAAGGTGAGTTTTATTATTCTGTTTTAATTATATACATGCCTGTGTATTATTGCGTAGGCCTATTCTAAAGCAAATTGTTATAAATGTGATATAAAATGTCCGTTTGCTGTATAGAAACTACGACATAACATAAATCAAGTTATTAAAAAAGTGAAATGTTTAATTGAAAAGCCGTGAGTTGTGTCTATAAAGATAATCATAATTTAATAAATTATGGATGTTCATAACGAAATCTCTACATGAGGGGTTTTGATGCAGCTGTGCATACGAAACTTTCCATAGGCTGTTTATTTAAGGTTTAGTTATAAATTTTGCTTTGATTGATTAAAAAGGTATTTGAATAACATGTCTTTTTCTATATTTAGCAATACCCAAAAACGTTTTAAAAAGTATTATTGTAATTACAAAGAAAATATATGAAATGCACCAGTGTAAACAGTGTGTGCTTCTGAGCTCAGGTGTTCTGTTGTAATTGGGCTCAGTGGATATAAGTGTTTTCTGGATGCCTTCTGTGGATTATGGCATACAACTATTTTTCCACTCTGGAGGGCAGTTTAAATTAATTAGCATGATGAAGCATTACAACTATAAATGCCTAATTGTGTCATATACAGTAGTAAACTGTTGCAAAGATCATATTCTCACTTGCCTAAAAGCTTTGGTGAACTAAAAGTTCTGTCTGTAGCTTATCTGTTCTGAGTTGGTGGAGATGGGAAAACGTCCACCTCAAAATGCTGTGCAGAATACTCCCCCCAATGCTCGAATGTTGGGAAACTATCGCTCGTTTTTGGCTCCCTCAAATGCCTGTTGCTTCTGCTGGTGTTGCTGCTGCAGCTGTTCATGGTGAGAAAACACTTTTTCAAATGTTTTTTGTGAAATAGAGCAGGGTTCCTCAACAAGTAAACCATGAGAAACAAATTTTGCTTGCATCTCTGAAGTCAATAGTAAAAGTCATTGTAATCTTACTGGGGATGATGGCAAGGAGCTGCTTTTTATTAGGTTTATCCCAGTTTATGTACTTGAATATTATAATTTTACTATAAATAGTGCAACTACATTGAAAAAAAATATTAGTTGGATTTACTATTTTTTAAAGATAAGTGATTGCAAACTATTTATATGAGCTCAGTTTAAACCAATGGTCACCAAACTTGTTCCTGGAGGGCCGTTGTCCTGCATATTTTAGCTCCAACCCTAATCAAACACACCTGAACAAGCTAATCAAGGTCTTACTAGGTATACTTGAAACATCTAGGCAGGTGTGTTGAGGCAAGTTGGAGCTAAACCCTGCAGGGACACCGGCCCTCCAGGACTGAGATTGGTGACCCCTGGTTTAAACAAACAAATTAACAAATGAATAGAACATTACTAAATTTGATTTGTTTAATTTCAGCCCAAATACATTTGCAACCACCTTTTCTTTAAAGAAAATGTAAATCGTTTATTACAGGATTCACTTATTGAACTGAAAAAGTGCAATAAACAGAAAATAGAAAATGAATCAATTAATTAATTTGTTATTAATTTTCTCAATTTACTTATTTGTGCTAAATTAATTCCAATGGTGCCTGATGATTAATTAAGGTCTTATGAATTGATAATGCTTGATAATGATGTCAACCTGTGTGATAAAACAGAATATATAGTGTATATTGTTAAGCCTGTAATTTTGGACACAACTTCTGATGTTATATCTACACTATACAGGAACAGTGCAATGTTTGATTAAATATTGGATTAAAAGGACATAGACCTTTAGAGAATTAGACCTTTAGAGAATTAATGAATGTAAAATAATTTTGATAACAGTGAAACCATTATTTTTCAGGCTATAACTAACAAAATCTGTAATTACTGCATCCCTAATATGGAAGCAATCATAATTAATTTTGTAAATAATATTAAATGATAATAACCCAGTGTGTAATGTGTGTGTTTGTGTGTGTGCGTGTGTGTGTGCGTGTGTGTGTGTGTGTGTGTGTGTGTGTGTGTGTGTGTGTGTGTTTAAAAGAAAGCATCACTACAACATCTCAAAGAGAACAGCCATATTTTAAAGGAATATTTCACTCAAAAATGAAAATTATGACATCTTACAATTTATCATCACTTTCTTTTTTTAGATTAAAAAAACAGTTGGAGTAGTTTAGGTTTTATTCCAGCATCATTTTAAGTTTTTTTTACTATTGCAAACTATTGCAATATGTGTATTGTGACATGTATATGCGCAATATTTCAATACTTTCAATATATTGTGCTGTTCTAGTAGACAGCTAGTGTCATTAAAATGTAAACATTGTTACCCTGAAAGCACTGTGGATAAATCAAAAACAAAAGTAATTAAAATAGGTTTTATATTGTTTGACAACACAACGTAAATCCAAAATTTCATATGCTCAGCAGGACTGCCTGTTAAACCTATAACATCGAATGTCATTCATGACACTGAGTAGGCATATTAAATGTAATTATTTGAAACATTCAAAAGATACAAACATACATTACGGAAAATTTTGCATACCCAATTCACCTATAACGCATGTCTTTGGACTTAAGGGGGAAACTGGGGCATCCGGAGTAAACCCATGTCTTTTTTTTTTTTTTCTTTTTACTATTTTCCAGTTGTGAACTTTCTCATCGTATAATGAGATTTCCCTTTATATAACTTGTTTATAGAGACGGCTGTATGATTTCTCTCAGATTTATGGCATTACAAATGTTAATCTTTGTTTTTTGCCACTGTCGTCACTGGCTTGCTTGGTTTGAGACCTGTGGAGCTGTGCATCAATGGATTTGCTCCTTCAGTGTTTGAACTTTCAGCAGTAAAATTTAAACCACACTGAACTGAACTAAACTGAACTTCAACTTTGAAAACTGGACTGACAGTTTCAATTTACCAGAACTTCTATGTTAAGCTTCTTCGACATAATTTACATTGTACAAGCTTATAGAAATAAAGATAACTTGAAATGAATGGTTAATCAAACTTCATCACAGCTCTCTTATATAACCAAAGAGATCCTAAAGGGAAGTAAAATATCCTATACCCTTTATGCTTTACCAAACTTCCAGCATGTCATTTCAGACAGTAGTAGTCTTCTCCACATGCATCAGAAACGCTCTGGTTACTAAAGTAACCCTAAATACTATCAGTGGATTTATTTAATCCACGAATGGGGATTTCGTTTCAGAAAACCAATTGTCTGAAAGAGTATATAACGGGCCAATGAAATGCCAAATGAGTTGGCAGCGTAAGCTTGTGCACGTGTGCCTTATTGCCAATTAGCTCCGCATATAAGCACAGGGAAAGCAAGGAAACGCCATCCTTTTAAGTTGAAAAGACTGACACTTACAACTAAGGAACAATCATTATGGCGATGCTATATAGCATTTTCGTTCCCCTCCTCTGGGAACGAGGGTTACTTTAGTAACCAGAGCGTTCCCCTTCGGATGTTGAACTTTAATGCTATCAGTGGATTTATTTTATCCACGAATGAAGAAATGTCTGGAAAACGCCATAATGACTGCAACTTACATTCGTCTCTGATGAGAGGATAGCCAGGCATAGCGTGAGCGCTCCTGCATCAAAGAGAGGCGCGGTCTTTCAATGTGATCCCTGGCCCTTACTTATCCCACTTCAAAGAAGTTTTATGGATTTAGATATATTTTTTGGGAGTCGCAAGCGTCTAGATAATTCTAGGAAAATACAACAGTACGTTGGGAAAGCGTGAAGGTCCGATAGGGAGGACACTGTGGAGGCCACCTGCTACCCAATGGGTATAAGGGAGATGGCATTCACTATCCAGTGGACCAACCTCTGTTTTGATACGGCACTTCCCTGCTGCCAACCGCTACAGCAGACGAAGAGCTGCTCAGATGATCTAAAGCTATGAGTGCGGTCCAGATAAATACGCATAGCGCAAACTGGAAAAAGTAAAAAAAGGGCTGGGTCTGCCTCCTCTGGGGGCAGCGCTTGCAGGCTCACTACCTGGTCTTAAAACGGTGTGGTAGGAACCTTGGGCACATATCCCGGGTCTCAGGAATGTGAGAGTAGGCCAGCCCGATTACAGGCACGAGTCACTGACCAAAAAATGCCTCCGGGTCCCGACCCTCTAATCGATATCAATGCGACCAGCAGAGCTGTCTTCAGGGACAGAAATCTTAAAGATACTGAGTCGAGGATCGAAGGCATCTGACGCAGGCTCGTGAGAATGAGGGGGCGAGATCCTAAGAGTGCATGAGAGGGGGGCGAGGTGGATTAATTCGCCTAGTGCCTCTGACGAACTAAATAATGAGGTTATGCCTTCCCACGGTGCTGCCAGCCACCGCGTCATGAGAGCGGAGATGACAGCCACGTAACTTTTAGTGTGGAGGGTGATAGCCTGCTCTCCAGCTTCTCTTGGAGTAAAGAAAGCACAAGGCTGATCTGGCAAATTTCGGGGGTCTTCTCTGCGAGAGACGCACCATTCAGTGAATAGACTCCACTTCAGGGCATAGGCGCGCTCGAGGAGGGGGCTCTAGCCCGAGTGACGCTATTAACCACCGCAATCGGTAGGTTACCTAAGTCTTCCTCGCGTCTAAGGACCACACGTGGAGGTTTCGATCGGGGCGAGGGTGCCAGATGGTGCCCTGTCCCTGAGAGAGTAGGTGCTCTCTCAAAGGGATCTGCCAGGGAGGGCCATCAGGAGGAGGGAGAGCTCTGACATCCAGGTGCAGTTGGGCCAGAGGGGCGCAACCAGCAACCTGTTCCTCGTCCTCCCTGACCTTGCACAGTAACTGCGTGAGCAGGCTCACTGGGGAAAATGCGTATTTGCGCATGCCCTGCGGCCAGCTGTGGTCCAGTGCATCCGTGCTGAGAGAACCCTCGGTCAGGGAAAAGAACAACTGGCAATGAGCGATCTCGGGGGAAGCAAACAGATCGATCTTGGCTTCCCCGAATCACGCCCATATCAGCTGAACAGACTCGGGGTGGAGTCTCCATTCTCCAGGACGTACGGCTGCCGTGAGAGCACATCGGCTGCATAGTTGAGCTGAGACATCGGCTGCACGGTTGAGCTGAGACATGCGGTGAGAGCGAAAACCCCCCATGCGGTTGATATCCGCCACTGCTGCCGTGCTGTCTGTCCTGACCAGCACGTGCTGCTGCTCCAGCACTGGAAAAAAACGGTGGAGAGCGAGGAACACTGCCAACAGCTCCAGGCGATTGATATTCCAATGGAACTGGGTTCCTTTCCACAGGCCCGCAGCTGCATGCCCGCAGCCCACAGCCCCCCAGCCCGTGTTGGAAGCATCTGTTGAAACAACAACATGACTGAATGCCTGTCGTAGAGGCACTCCGGCCTGTAGGAACGAGGGGTCGATCCAAGGGCTGAGGGTGCGGCGACACAGCGCAGTAACAGTGACTCGGTGTGCGCGTGCATGTCATGCGCATCTGGGGACTCGATCGTGAAGCCAGTGCTGGAGTGGTCTCATATGGAGTAATTCGAGCAGCATGACAGCGGCTGCAGATGACATATGCCCCAGGAGCCTCTGAAATAATTTCTGTGGGACTACTATTTTGCTGTCGATCTCTCTCAGACAGTTCAGCATCAGCTAAGCGCGCTCTCCAGAGATGCGTGCTGTCATAGTGACTGAGTCCAGCTCCAGCCCAAGAAAAGAGATCCTCTGCACGGGGGCGAGTTTGCTCTTTTCTCAGTTGACCTGAAACCCCAATAGGTGGAGGTGCCGGAGCACCTTATCTCTGTGCATAATCAATTGCTCCCAAGAGTGGGCTAAAAATCTGCCAGTCGTCGAGATAATTGAGTATGCGGATGCCCGTGAGCCGAAGGGGCGCTAAGGCACCCTCC